AATTAAACTGTTCTTTGGGACAATTAAGTCTCATACACTTTAATTGCTACTGGTTGTGAATCCACCCATTTTCCTGTTTCCGTCAGTTCCACCAATAAACGTGGGCTGCTGGAGGATTCGAGTAAGCCCACTGTTACATCAAAGCCGCAAGTGGTTTTAGCCACTCTCACCAAAATTGTCTGAAATAGCACATCTCGCGCCCTCTATTACATCTGTTTTAAATGGCTCAAAGGTGATTGAAAACCAATAACCCGAAATACATTAGAATTTTAATTGAATCAACTTAGTTCGAAACTTTGATATTTCAGGTACTTTTTTCTGGTTTTACCGAATGCTGAAGTCCAAATCGAAGGCCCATAGAGGTGTGATTAGTGGAACTCACAGCCACTCTTCGAAATTAAACCTTGGTTTTTCTCTAGTCGGATCATGCTGGAAACAAAATTACTCCACCTATCACTATCGGAGTGCACAAATGTAAAACACAATCTAGCTTTTGCAGCATTTAGATTTCGGTTCATTTTGCATTTCTAGAGACCATGAGAACTCAGCATCTATTCGGTCAGATTCTTGTGTCTCTTCAAACTTACTACTGCATTCATTGAACTTAGCAATTTTAAATATTACCATCTTCAGACGTTTATCCTGACAGTCAGTTTAACAGTACTGCAGAGCGGCGCCGAAATCAAAATGGCAATAAAGAAGCAAATAATGCTGCACTGCCTCAGAAAGTGAAAACCCCTGAGCAAGCTCATAAAAACTGATTTACTGTTCATGGCGGAATGGAAATGGGAGCGGTCAGTGTGAGGATTGCAGTTATCGAATTTGGTTGAGGTATTTTTCAATAATTACAAATGCTCTGTGTTCAATACGACCAATCAAAGTTGCAGGTAGCCGAGTCAGAGTTAGGTAAAAATCTTTTTTGAATCTAACAAGTCAAGAAAATCAGTGGTTAAGATTCGATTTAGGGAACACTGGAATGTTAATCAACCCACTGCGCAAGTTTATTTAACTTCCTTTTCGTCAGATGCACTGGAGTCTCTCGTCTTCTTTATAACTCTAGCAAAATATCCTTCGAAAAACATGTACAGACTGACGAAAATTGAATCTAAAACAATATGTATAAATAAATGTCTACAAAGTAGGGGAATGCATAGAATGGGGTGAAGTGAAGACTTTCCATCAAGGACATAATTATAGTATAAAAATTCAAAATTTCTTCTGTCCAGAAAAAGCTGATTCAAGTTGACTAAAATTGCAAATTTTACATTGCAGACCGCAAAAAAGGATATGAGCATCGGCAACAAATTAGCGATAGGGGAACTCAGTTATTTACTTAAATTGTTAGCAGCCACGGGGAGGGCATTAATCGATTACAGCTTCTTTTCTGTCTCAGAATTGTGAACAGAAAATGGTGGTGTCTCAGGGCATTTGCATAAATTTTAATTTGATGTTTTTGTTTAAAGGCTGTTTCTCTTGATAAGATAACACCACGTAAACAGGAAGTAGCACCAAAGCAAATACTCCCAATTCCTTCCCTTGAAGCTTCGACGGATCCTGAAACGTGGCCAGTAGTTAAACTTTTATGTTCTCTTATGAAATCTTGATTCGACATCTTGTAGCCAACCGTATGACCGATCAGATGGAACACTTTCTACGACAATAGTAGACTTTCAGTGTTACTCTGCATCAATTTATCTCGAGTACTAACAACTCAGTTATTCAGGCTATAAATTTAATCCATGCGTGTGCATAAGAGCTTCCCCTTCAGCTTGGAGACGTATGCCTTGACAAAAAAACGAACCTCTTGCACTGAAAAAAATGGTTGTTGAAAAGGCTTCGGGCAGCTGTTGCAAAATGTTCTAATTCAGTGAAACTGAAATTATTTATAATATGTGCAGAGAAGTTTCAAATGTTAAACTTTTGGCAGAGGCTCACTGCTTTACTTGGCCAGTTCTATCCGTAGAGGTTGTGGACTGTTCCTTTCAGATGTTTAAGTGCAATTTACCGATCACAGGGAACTTTTAAAGTGAATTTCATTTACGCAGGTGTCTCTTGCACCGGAACTTTTTCGATTTTTTAAGAAGTCTTTTAACGCGATATCGAAATTCCACCATGCCAATGCCTTAAGTCTTAGTCTAATTATCTTCTAACTTTAGAAGATGGGACATGAAAGACAAACATGCTCATGTTTGGTGATGTGCACTTGTTTAAAATCAAGGAGCACTTGAATCCGCAGAACCCAATGCAGACTTAGCACCGTAAAGCTTTATGCAAGGCCATGAGGTTTCCTTGTTTCCTGCTATTGAAATTATTTGATGGAACATTTCACATCACATTTATCCGCACCCCCCTTCATCACACGAAAAACGAAATGACTGGTTTAAACCAACGAGATAGGTGCTAACTTGCAGAACTATTTACAAGTGACTTTAGAAATGTCGCATAAGACCATCGAGTATGGATATAGATGCTTAGTTAGGATCCATGTGTGCGTAGAGACCATGTCAAATGATGAAAAGATAGTCAAAGGGATCTCCGACTTCGTGTAAGTCAAATAATTACCTCAATTTTAAAGATTGCATAAATTGCAAAAAATGTTAACAAATTCTGTCACGGATTAAATTCAAAAAAAACCCACGCTTCTCCAATTGTGCTGATTACTTTTGGTTTACTTCTATCCACTTGCAGATTTTAAAAATTAAAATCAGAGTAAAATTTCTTAGTGTCCAAGGCTCTAGTTCCATTTTCACCTTTAGTCAATATAAGGTGCATTTACATTCATGGTGGCAGCACGCAGAAGCGGAATAAATGGAATCCTGTTGTACATCGTCAAGTAAACACAAATTTAGGCAGATTTTTAGTGCTTACTGTAATATTTTGTTCCTTATCCACTTGCACATAAATATTGATTTTGCCGTGTACAAACTGGATCAGGTAATGCAAAAATAAAAATCCGAATGCCAAGCATATACTTACCAATCAGTTTAACTCCTAACACATAACACAAACAAATTATGATTTACATGTCAAGAATAGGCCTATCGTGTGATGGCAGGTCAGGTCAATTTGGCACTTGGCCGAAATTTTGCGTCACCCTGACTTTGTGCATTTCAGCTCAGCAACCCTGACTACAATTATGTAATTTTAAAACAGTTTTTTTTTATAAATTAGGGATCCAGTCAATTTGCATTTGATAGAGTCCGCTTCTCCTATGGACATGTCTTCTGATGATGATATACGGGACTTTCAATTATGCAGCCAAGTCTATTTAAAAGCAGGGCAGTTACACCGCTAAAATACAAAACGGGGTTATTCTTAGTGAAGTGAGGCTTCATAATCGCTATAAACTTCTGTGGCTGCTTGTTTTTCTTTTGTTCTTAGCCCTATTTAATTTAAAACATTTTATTATTTACTTAATAATGTTTCGATGCCAATAGACACCAAAGTTTATGTTTATTTCCAATCTTTTCCCGGATATGTAAGCTTCGAGCAAAGAAATTTTCAATGCCCAGTTACAACCAGAAATCAAAATGCAATTGTTTCTTTTAAGCTAGCTGTTTTTTTCAAACTAACGTACATCCGCATAATACTTCGGTCTCGATTTTATGGGTTTGCGACAAATTTAGAAGGGCTCGGAAACATGCTGCAGCAAAAAAATTTGCAAGATTTTGCTCTTTCAGGTGAGCAGGATTGCTAATCAATGTGTCATTGCTTTTGTTATGCACACACGCATTTAAAGTAGCTTTTGAAATAACAATAACTGGTGTAAATCTGCTAAAGATTTTCTTGGCTTTCGATTTATATTCTGTTGTTTTAGTTGCTAAATTAGGCAAATGGATCTGGATTATGAACAACCAATGGTTAACACTAGAGATTATTTACCACACAGTGGGTACTGTAAGCAGAAAAAGTTTTATTTTTAAAGTGTTCACTTAGAATCTAGCAATTTTGGTTAAAAATAATAATTTAATTTGTAAACTGCTGATTCCACTATTTTTTAAATTCCTTTTAGTCTGTTAGAACCACATTTAAAAGACAGTATCCTCGATCACCGAATCATATAGTATGGTTCGAGTGGTATTTCATAAATACTCTTTTAGAAGCGTGCTTAGTAAATCGGTATGTAGGGACAATTATAATTGGGTTAATGGTAAATAAAGAAATTTTGACGCTAAATTACCTTAGGTCGTCTGCGAGCAGGTGTGAATTGACAAATCCATGAGTTTTCAATAACTCTTCAAATACGGTGTGTCTAGTGTTTTGTGTAGTAAAATCAATTTCTCCAAAGTACTGTCTTTGAAGTTTTCTACTTTACTGGTAAGAGCCAACAAATCTGGGATAATTCTGCTTGATCACACTGTAAAAGCGCACTTAATAACCCAGTAACCGAAATAATTCCTTAACCTTGACTGTAAGTCTAGAGATCCAACGTAGTGTAATTAAATGTCCGAAAAAGTGTAATGGTTTATAAATGTCTCTATTAGAATAGGTATCGAATACCCTAAGTCCAAACCTTCCAAAAATTGGAATAAATTTTTTTCCAAATTGGCACAAAACTAGACCAATTTTATAACTTTCAATTGGTTCATGCTGTTTTTGGGAATATAGAACTAATTTTTTTTTGCTTTATGAAACAGACCTGGAAGGTTCGCAATTCTTTTTGACAAAAGCTTTCCCAAACTTGTAAATTTTTGATCATCGCTTTAACTGGTAACGCTTGCTTTTTACTGTCAGTTAGTTACGTAATAGGGTTGAATTGTAGTAAATCACCTCTGTTTGCCACAAACAAATTAGTGCTTTCCAAGGCAACTTCCTTTTATCTACTTAATTGTCCTGCCATTTCGTGGTGAAGGTTCTGTATTTGGTATTAACCTATTCGTTCTGGTCTTATCCACCAATTAGGTTCACACAGAATCTGATTGGTTGGGGCGAAATCGCCGAATTTTCAAATCGAACTGTGAATACGCGATTCACACAATCAGACACCCTGGTATTCAAATATGCTAGCTATTGCTATTCACGTCACATTGCTTCTCGCGCACCATGTGTGCGGTGAGGCTACGGATTCCGGTTTAATTCCGAACGACGTTATTAGAAGTGGTGAATTCGGGTTGTTCCGTGCTCGTCAAAACGCGACACGGGCCCGAGCGGAAAACCTGCAGCCTGATTCGTCAATTCAATGCATTGGCACCATGCGGGGTGTTCTCCTGACAGCTGGAATGCATTTAGAACCACTTTTTGAAGTGATCGGGAGGTGTCCGTTAGGCACTGATTTTAACCTGGCTGATCATTGCTCGAATGATATTCCAGAGTACCCTCCTGGTGAGGCTTCAGTTGAGGAACTTCAGAATCAACTGTTAGACGAACTTCAGTCTGAAGGTAAACCAAATCTTGGACCCCTTTTGAAACATGTCATTCGAAAAGTCTCCCCAGTTGTTGATACTGACACAGGGATCATTTACGCAAACAAATACTGTGCACAGTGTAATATTAACATAACCGAAAATCGATTAATACAACTTCCGAAGCAGATGGTTTGCGATCAGGAGAATAACACTACCAAGTGTTTTGTTCATACTGACCTGTCCAAAAATGCTAGAATGTGTTCTGCTCCAAGGCCAAGTCTCTTATTCTACTTCAGTTGGGACTCCATCTTTAATCTCCCTGATGACGAAGAACCAAACGAAGGTGCAGTAGAGCAATCCTACATCGATTCGCTTTTTGAAGCACTCCAGTGGGCATGCTGTGTCTTTTCCCTTGTGACACTGGTAGTTGCTATTTGTGTGTTCTCGGCCTCTGCTCGACTGAGACGACCTCTCCCCGGCAAAATGATGATTGCTCTGTGCTGTGCACTTCTGGGGGCTCTGGTCGCCTTTCTGCTAGGCAGTGGAGTTATGGACAACCTGACGCCTTTTCGCAGCGATCTGAGACCAATGTGCGTTACATTTGCCTGGTTTCTGCAAATATTTCTACTCAATGCATTTGTGTGGATGGCTCTGTTTGCTGTGGAGCTGTTTCGCACATTTGGTCTTGCCAGGATGTTCCAGCAGGCTTGCATTTGTTCTCGATGCAGAAGAAATTGTGATGCAGAAGAAAGAAGCAAAAACGCAACGGTAGAGTAACTAACTTCTTAGCTAACTATTGGTTTGATATTTTAACAACAAAACGGGCTAGTAAGATAATCTAGAAAAAGATTTCCGGATCAAACACATTTTATACAAAGTACGACACATCGCTATGTGCTTACTGAACGTGAATTCCTGTTCACCTTACTATATGTCGCAAATACGACTATTTTGTTAACTGGATTTGAATGTTGTCACGGACGAATTCAAAAAGCACAAAACAATTGTGGTACTCCGTTTTAGGGGCACATTTTGATCACGTAGACTGGCGAATTGTCTACTTCAAAAAGGCAAGTGAAAATTAGCATGTTCCAGCCCTGTCTATTTCCGGATATGGCTCCGACAGTTAGTTTCTGAAAGACTAGTAATGGGCAGAGTTAACTGATGCATTAGTGATTGCTTTCTCCAGCCCGGAAGTAAAGGCCCTATTTCAGGCGTAATGTGAGTCTGCATCCAGTGGCCACTGAATTACTTAAAAGAACATTTAATGCGTTTTAAGCGATAACGCTGCAAGTCATGGAGATGCTGCTGCGTCTAGTGTTCATTCAATGTATTCCACATACTGAAACATAATGCCGTTCTTTCTCCAATATGTGCTAAACGAAATAATAATGGCCAGGCAAAGTATGTCTCTTTTCACTACTTAAATGGGTTTCGTGAAACCAGTGATCAATTCACTCTTGACTTTAAAGTTAAGTTGCAAACATAGCAATGATTTTCCTTTCTCTACTATGCTCAGTTTGTGCACACCAGCGGTTCCAACAAACCCCAAATGGTGACCTTTCTTTCTATAGTGACTCGCATTTTCCTACATTCAAATAGACAATATGACTGATGGCTGTTGAAAGAGGTCAAAAGTTCCCCAAATTAGTGAAAAAACTGTGCTTTTGTCACGTAGGCATCGGTAGCCCGGTGAAGGCTCAATGTGTCACCCCTGGATGGTCTGCAGCAATTTCATTCCGCTATATTTCATCAAATTTTCTGTACACGTGGTTGTTCATACTCAGTACTTTGAGAAGCAGTACTGAACGACGAAAAATATTATCGTATCCTTATACAGGACCAGGTCTCCATGAAATTACGTTTAACTTAATTTGACTAGGCAATGTCCCCAGTGACTTCAATCACACAGCTAAGCATTGCACAAAAATTTAGCCTATTCCAATGGATTCAACGCGCTCTATCAGAACCGAAGGTTAATACTTCTACTTCATAGAAGTGTACAGAACTCGGCATTTGAATGCAAATACTTATTGGTCGCACAATAATTAAGTCGAATGTCAAGGGCATGCATAAATTAAACGCAACGCATCCCCACGACACTTTTGGTGCTAGAAAGTGACAGACTTAAATCTGTGGGATAGGCATTAGGAAGTATAGTCAATTTCTTCGATACTAAAACTTTCTTGCATTAACTGACTTGTTTTCAGTAATTAAAGATCCGCGAATTCCGTGGATGTCTCAGACGAACAAAAGAATTTTTTAAATCATCAGTGGCTACAAATTAAACTCTTTCAAGTTCAAAGCTTTTGGAATCGTTATTCAGCTAACTTACTTATTTGTATTTAATTTCGTCTGCGTTTTTAATTTGACACAATGTCTTTCTGTCTTCCAGAGTATGATGCTTCGTGCTCGCAGATCCGATTCGAATCCCACCAAACGTTTTAAACAGCAAGTTGCACTCGCCTTCGTTATCCCCTTGTGCTTTGCCATTCCCACACTTGTCATCAACGAATGCGTATACAGTCGTCTTTTGCCACTGTACAATGCCTCACTCAATAACAGTTGGTCAAATATATCTCAGGAGAATGAACTTGGGAGAGCGCTTCACAGCCTCAATCCCGGTTTCTGTCCTGTCCATGACCCACGACGCGCTTGGTTTACAGGACACCAGATAGCGTTTGTAGTTTGGTTTCTGGGACCCGCTGGCAGCACGATATGCTTCAATCTTTTCGCACTCCTTATTGTCTGCATTCAAATCTGCCGGCTGAAACGCGAAACACAACTCTCTTCCAACTCCGCCATCTCAAAGTGTAAAAAACAATCCAAGTCCCTCATCGCTGTCTGCGCGAAGCTATCGATCATCCTCGGCGCTAGCTGGTTCCTCCAACTTTTTGCAGGACTTTGGCCGCAACTGGACATGCTTCGACGGGTCGCCGGTCTTGTAAACTGCTCTCAGGGTGGAATAATTGCAGTTTCAATGTTGGCCAGTACGAAAGCACGACGAGTGATCGCTCAGTGGCTGCCTTCACGGTGCCGTGACGCCTTTGGTGTACGAGATTCCTCCTCACAAACAATACAAGAGACGACTAACTCGTCAAGGTCAAATAGACGAAATGTTGACTACAAAAACTCGCAGACCGCAAGCCTAATTAGAAGTGTTTCGTCTTAATAGGGACTCCAAACAAAGCAACGTCGTTATCTGAATTTATTTACATATGTCACTGTAAATCCTCTTAATCCACCACTGTTTCTACATATTCCACAAAGTTTATCATCAGTGAGCCTCGATGAGAGTCCATTTTCAATAATGGAATCATTTGTATTTGTACTCAGTGTCAGAGATGCTTACCTGTGGAATAAATAAGCTTGGTGTTCCGAGGAAAACATTTATTCTTAGCTTCTCAAATTTATACATAGGTTGTAAATTTGCTCTAAAGACAATGATAGAATTTTTGTGTACATGTACTTATCCAGATAATACTGATCATGTGGTTAAAAACGTTCCCGTTAAAGTAAAAAGGGAAATATGGCATCAAATGCATTGACTTATACCTTCAATGACTCGCTAAATACCGTACAATTTCTTTGTGATCTTTAGTTTCCACTAACAAAAACCATGCCATGTGATTTTTATGTAAATGTATTTTCTTTTTTACCAAACAATAACTCACCCTGATGACTTGTACGACATTTTCTCATTTGCACCAAAGTAAAATCACTTTTTGAAGTTTTATTCTTTTTGACTCCTATTCTTCTCCGAATCGGATAGTCGTTTTGTCTCAGAATAAATAAATGAGCCTCCATAGTCAAAATAATCCATGTTACTCGAGAGTCCACGTTATTAACACCTTTTGATTAGAATGCATGAACATTCCGTGTATTTAAAGAATTCAACAAACCATCTTCTGTTAAGCAGGTCAGAACCTGTGTGCGCCATCGCCAAGTCATTTTGTTTGGCTCGAAAAATGTCAGGCGGACACACGAATGTCCAAACTAGGGGCTGGTAGTCGTAAAAAGCAGCATTAACGGGTTTGCTTACAGCTACATGTGCATATTGAAGCCCATAATGAAAGACTGTTAAGAATTGCTAGATCATAACCTTACAGCCAAAGCAACTGCTGACATTGCTGAACCATTTTTTCCCGAAGAGAACTCTGGCAACTTCAAATAATTGGGCACAGATTTTCGCCTTAAACGTGCCAAAATTGTAGTTGCTTTGAAAAAATATAAAAATCAAAAGCTTAGCAAACGTTTTGGCAGCATTTCCATAATTTTAAGACTGGAAAACCAAAAAGAGGATAACATATGGGTTACCAGTGGGTAGGCTGTCATATGTAAGTATCAACTCAGGGATAGGAGAGAAGCAACTGGTAGTTTTAGGAGGGCCCATGCCTAACACATTTAATATTTACATTTTGTATAACCGACGAGTATTTTAGCCACATTAGGTAGCTGAATTCATTGACCAAAGCAACGAGCAAGACGCAGATTATAGAGAAAGCCTCTTCATGATCACCCGACTATTCAAAGTTAAGACTAGGTCTGCTTGTTGAGACAGGCGGTTAGGAGATGCCTTCATCCTAGAATTTTGAGGTGTTTCCGAATAATATGGGGTCAACAGAGCCCTGTGTCCACTGGTTTACGTACAGGAACATCAGTTTAAAACACACTATTATATCACTAACACAATGGACCATTATCCGAGGCAAGAAAGTTTCGAACTATATTCATAAATGCATCACAGTATGCTTTTAAAATGACAAATTTCTGCCAACCACAAAATATTTGAGCACAAATGCCTCATGTCACAAAATCCCTGGGGTATTTCAGCCCAAAACTCTCCTAGGTAATTTGTTTTGATATTTCTACACATCACCTTGTCGGCAAAGTAAATGCTCTTCTAGACAGCAAAAAGAAGAAATGCATTTTTTGCAAATAGCGACCTTTCCACTTTTCCCTTCTTCAGTGCATTCGACCTTTTGTTTGTGCATGTATGAAACAGCTTGACTGAAAACGAGCTTTGGATTCTAAGTACTGGGCTCGAGGCAGAGAGCTACTCGAGTTATTTGATTAGCATATGAGCCTATCACGACGAGATAAGCAAGATAGAACTACTGCTTGCATATCTCCAAATATTTAACAAATTGGCCAGCTGCAGCGCTTAGGCGTTCATGGCACCGCGCATGTCAGTGGCTTATTGCTTGTTTGAACATGTAGCAACCGGTTAGAAGTTGCCGAAGAGTGTGTCGACCATCGATGTGTTAATCTGACACCAACCAAGCATAACCAAAAATAATTAGATGGAAGGAAACAGACTGAAACCCCTAATTCTGTTTGACGTTATATGGCCCAAAGGAATGCATTGGGTTTTCGCAAATTGTGGTGGGCCTAACTGGGAATAGTCATGTCACATAAACCAACACAAAAGAAAGCAAGCTGTGTTTTCTTGACAGTGATTTTGTGAGGAGAAAGAACAGCAGCTGTGAGGAATAAACCATTTAACAGTTGCTCTTTTGACAACCGCTTGTTTTGACCACACACTTTTCCAAATTTTGAAAAACACTTTTACTTGGAGGTGTCATCTACCCATGTTGGCATATTTTTTACTTGAGTGTGCTGGTCTTTTTACCTGGTTTTTAAGTTGAATACCTCTAAACCATTTCGGTATACGGGCATTGTTTGTGCTAGCAAAGAAAGTCTTCTAATGGACAATGAACGGTTTCAAGGCTATCGTGAATTTACAAGTTGCACCAGTGAAACAGTTCTCTGCATTGCTTTGGTTTGTTGGGATTTGTTTTGCCCTAAATTTTTTTGTTCCGCTTTCACGACTTTGACTGATTCAAAAATTGTTCCTACGGTTACAATTTTTACTGTTCTTATTAAACCGTTTTTAGCCTGCAGGTTTTGCTTATCACAATTATTACCTCAAATCATTCCATATTTTGGGGATTCAGATATTTTTGAAAAATAATATCTGCTTTTAAAATCTCCCATTTGTGTGTTTTATTGCCTTTCCTGGTGGGACTATAAAGCAACCTAATTTTGATCCGATTATAGAAGAGTAGTTGAGGTTTTGACATTTTGAGCCTTAAGAATAACACGTATTTGTCTTCAAATTTCTACCTCGGTTTTTTAATGTAAGTTTAATTCTGTGTGCAAAACACATCCACACGTGGTAATTTAATCTACCCACATTTGCCGTAGGGCTGCGGAAGTACTGCTCTTATACTAAAATACAAAAAAAATTGCATCATTTTAAGAGCTTGGCGTATTACAGGTTACGATACGTTACAAACTCCATCAGCAGTTTGAACTATGTTTTGGTCTAATTTAAATATGAAATGCGTTTGGGCCTTCCCATGGCTGATTTCACTAACTTGGTTTTTTCCAGCTAGTCTTCAATTTTGCATGCCGATGAAATTTCTTCAGATTGTTTTGTCATTTACTAATGGACATTTGGACTATTAAGTCCACTAAGAACCCATCTTTACGAATAGCTAGTTTACGCATCATTTTTCAAAGTCGGATGATGGGAGATTGATTCTCCGCAATCTTTTGACGATTTCTTATATCAAAGACTTTTGAACATTTTGTTGGACAAATAATTTATATCAAATTAGTATGTTCCATTATGTTGCTCAACAGACGAAGACTTAAAGCATACAAAACTCGATTATGTGCATATTGACATCTGACTTGCCTCAAATCATTACAACTGGTTCAGTTGGAAGCTGATAAAAAATGATTTACTGATTTATTTTAAAAGATTCTTGTATTAAACAAATATCTCCCAAAATGTCAAAATTTTGCAGCATTTTATTACAAGTAAATTCTTTCCCATTTTTAGATTTTGCTTTAAATTACACGGGACTCGTTTTGGTACAATAAAAGACTGTGTGGTTTCGTATTTTGTTTTGACAAAATTGTAACGAAATTGTGAAGTAATTAATTTTATTAGATTTAATGGACTACATTACTTTATTATTCTCGAAAGGTGTGTTTGTGTTCGTTTGTCACTAGCTATTTTTTCAGGTGTCCGAAACTCTCCTATTTACGCTAGATAAATAATCCGAAAAGGTCGAGTCTCATCTCCAGCAAAAGGCATCTTGTTATGATTAATGTCCCAGTTTTGGCTAAGTCTCGCCAAAACCTTCCTTTCATTACTGCAAATGGTCTAACAAAAAAGTTTGATGTGGAAAAGCACTTTTGCCATAGGTGTAAGCAGTCGTTTTTATCAACCTGAGATTTGACAAATCGCAATCACTATAAGTGGTGAATGCATTCGATGATTGGTAAGTCTGGGTTACAGAAAGTATTTAGAGGTGATCATTAGGTAAGTAACTTGGACAAATTGTAGTGTTGCAAGAACTCCATTACAATACATCCACAAGTGAACCGAAGGACATACGCTTGAAAGTGAAAATATCCGTTTTATTTTATTTAAGTCTGTCAGCATCCGAAAGGGACTAATTCTTCAGGAAACGTGCAGATAAACTCTCACCAAGCACTTTGTAGTTAAAACCCTCCAGGTAGCCTCTTGCGCTGATACTAAGACCCCGTAGTATTCAAAGTGTAAGAGTTTAATTGCAGAGTATTCGTCCTGATAGTTCTGGCACCAATAAATGAAAATTCTACATAACTTTGACTTGGGACCTGGTCCATCGAGGCTTTTAGTTGGGACTTTTCAAGCGTGATATTTTAGTTGTTTGATGTAGAATATGGCCGTTTTAGCAAAACTATGATGCCGATTACTTCGCATGTCATTAGAAGTTTACGTTGTAGTGCCAGCGATCATCAACCAGGGGTTCCCATGTAATCTAAAGGCAATATTAACTATTGAGAAGATGAGTTGTAGACAAGCTCAACACAATCATGTGTGACGCTAGGCCTCTACGCGCAAAGTGGAGCCAAATTTTATGCAGTCTGATTCACCTTCATTTTCAAATCTTTATAGCTTTCGTTGATAGCCAATAATTATGAAGACCCTAATATATTTCGGACTTAGAACAATCCAATCAGGATAAATTATAACATCGCGAATTGGGTCACCTTTGCATGGACCAAAAAAGTACAAGTCTGCTGGTCATTATGGCTACCTTGTGTTAAACAGCCCGGTATCCCTGCAACCTAAATAAACATATCGATTAGCATTGTTTCGCAAAAGAATAA